TTAAGGACTCTCGTATAAAGAAAAAAAAAAGAAACTTAACCTGATAAATGATATTTACAAAAAATTACAATTAATACCTACAACTAATATCAAAGACCAAATGCTTTCACCTCAAGGTCAAAAAGGAGATAAAGATGTCTACATCCACTGTTTCTTTTCACAATTGTAGTTGGATTCTTACCCATAGGGTAAAGTAAAGAATGTAAATAAGAAATGTCAAAACACTCCTCCATCTGCTAAGTAAGCTTAGCAGGAGCTCAGATAGATACAGTCAATACATAAACATAAATATTTTCATACAATAACTAAAAATTTGGAAAACCAATTTTAAAATACCATTTGAAAGCATCAGTAAACACAATACTCATGTATAAACCTAGCAAAACATGCACAGTATATCTGTGCTGAAGACTACAAAATGCTGGCCAAAGAAATAAAGACCAAAATAAGCAGAATCATACTGTGTTCATGAACTGGCTCAATATAGTAAAGCAGTAAATTCTCACCAAAATGATCTGTAGATTCATGGCAATATCCATCAAAATCCCAGTAGAATTTTTTTATAGATATAGATAAGCTCGTCCAAAATGTTTATCAAAGGGCAAAGCAACTAGAAGAGAATAACTCTTTAAAACGGTAAAACGGAGATGAAGAATCCATACTATCTGATTTTCAGATTTTCTTTAGTAAAAAACAGAGTGCTATTGGCTAAGAAATAGACACAAAGATCCATGGAACTTACTAAAATCCAGAAATAGACATGCATAAATATGACCAATTCAGTTTTTACAAAGGAGTAGTTTAATTAAAAATATTAGCCTTTTCAATAAATGGTATTAGAACAATTAAATACCCATATGTGAAAATTGGACCTCTACCCAAACCTCATAGTTTATGTAAAATTTTTTTAATTTGCTAATGTGATTTGCTCATCTGAACAAAGGGCCACCACTTTGCTGCAAAGGAGGAGAAAGCACGGGGATGCACACTGGCTCTCTCATCCCCGGATGTGACGCGCAACATTTCCACGTGCATCACTGAGAAGAAAATGTCGTGTGCCTCTTTGCAACGGCAGAGGGACAGTAATGTTTGTCTGTGTCCAGGAAGGACAGGAGAACACGTGGACGGCTACTCCTCTCCCATGAACCGCCACAGAGCGGGTACTCAGCAAAAAGCAACTGGTGTCCTTTGTTCGGGAACATCACTCCTCATCTCTCGGAGGTGCTTCGGTGAAGACCAGATTTGCCTTGCAATTCTCTGAATCCTAAGTGCCGACACAGTGACACATGCTTTTAAATCCTACATTATCCCATCTGATTCGAAGAAGATGATGTAAAAGCCAGCAGAGAGCAATCACCTTCTCTCCACAATGGCAGTTTCCTGCACTACCCTACCCTTTGCAATACTATCTTCTCAGAACAGGGATATTTCTCCTTTCATTGGGATTTCATTTGATGCAGGACTTAAATCTTAACCTGTGAAGCTCTGTTCCTCTCCACCAGACCATTCCTACCTCAGTATCCACAGCTCTTCAGCCTCCCGAATACCTGGGGAGAAGGACGGGGAATCAAGGAAACCACATTCAGGGTGCCGTGGGGACCGGGAGGAAACTGTCTCGTGTATGAGCTCTGATGAACTCCACAGTGGGCCTGCTCTGATTCATCGGAAAGGAGCTCAGGGGAGCGGGTAGTGTGCTGTCCCCGGACAGCGACTGTAGTAAGCTTAGGACACCAGATAGGGACCGAGTTTAGCACCTCCAAGGGGCACAAGTCCAGGTCCTTCCCCAGGCCAAGAGGTCTGAGTTGTGTATGGCCCTCAGCAGATGCTGTCTCTCAGGAGCGCCTTCTGTGGCTTCCACACAGCCCGGAAGTCGTGCTTGTCTGTTCCCCAGGCAAGTTAGCACCGGGCTGGGCACTGCGGGGCTGTGGCCCGGGCCCCTCCAAGCTATGTGCATCACAGCTGGTCTGTGACACCTTGGAACTTGTTTCATCAGCCACTTTGAAAGCCAATATTTTCCTGAGAAGTAGGTCTACAAGGAGGCACAGGAAAGGCAGCAAATTTTGTCTTTAAATTTGAGCCAACATGTCTATGAAGGAACCATTTCCTCTCTCCTAGGTATGCATGTTCTCTAGAATCTCAGCTTCAGTAAAAACCGTTTACGAAGCTCCTCATCTACCATTGAGGAGGGAAGAACTAAGAAGCTTATCTGTTTGTGTTCAGTTTCTAGCTTCAAATAAGCAGCTCACTAAAATCCTATGCAAATATTGGAACAGTCTCAAGAGCCCTCCTTCCACAATTGGCTACAGCCCAAGTGCCAGTAGATCATTGGCCAAGTTGAAGTCTCCTTATAGCCAGCCCTCTGGGAAAACAAAGAATCCCAGGTATGGTGCACAGGGAGGAAGCTGCGTCCAGATAACCCAGGTGATCTGTGCCTTTTTCTCCTCGGAAATTGTTTTCTTTCCCCAGGCTTTCTAGCCATAGGGTGGGGCCTGGCTGGTCTCAAAGGAACCCCAGAGACTGTGCAGGCCCAGGCGCCAGGGTTCTCTTCCCACTGCTACCTGGATCCCACCCTCCTCCACTCCCAGTAAGCAGGAAAGGAATCCTGCTCCAGGATCCTGCTGGGAAAATGGGAGTGCCAGAGACATGGAGGGTTCAGAGAAACTCTGGAAGGCTTTGTTTTTACTTTATTTTTTTTCCCTGTACCGGGGAATTGAACTCAGGACCTTGTGCTTGCTAGGTAGGCACAGTACCTCTGAGCTACATCCTTGGCCTGAGACACTGGTTTTGAGACAAGGTTTCACTATGTAGTTTAGGCTGACCTCGAACTTATGGTGATGCTCCTGCCTCAGATAATGAAAACTTTACTGAGCACTTACTGTGTACCCACAAGGATGAATCTGTCCCATGCTCACAATGAACCCATGAGGAAGATGCTCATTTGGCCCCTGCTTTTCAGAGGGTAAGACTGAGGTGGAGAATTGTGCCCCGCAGCAAGTTTGCCCAGCTAAGAGCCTGCAAAACTTGGATGGGAACCTAGGAAGGACTGGTGTGGTGGTGCACACCTGTAATCTCAGCGCTAGGGAGGCTGAAGCAGGAGGATCTCTGTGAGTCTGAGGCCAGTCTGGGGTACACAATGAGTTCAAATCCAGCCTGGACGATATAGCAAGACCATGCTGTAAAAAAACAAAAAAATTAATGAAACCTAGGAAAAACAAATCCCAGGTATGGATGTCCACAAGTCTAAAATCACAATCTTGTGTGAACTCTGACCAATGGCCTTCGCCAGCAGAGGAGACCCACAGGAGACCGGCAGAACCAGGAGCTCCGGAAGGGAGTAGGGACGCTCTGCGGATGGGGGATCTGTGTAGCCTCTAGAAGGGGCAGCAGGGAAGGGCTGAGCATCGAGCCAGGTGCCAGAGCTGGGAGGGAGGGCACATGGGGGACAACCAGGGAAGGGGTGGGACAGCCGCAAAGTGCGGGTGCCTGTCAGAGACATCCACACCTGGGCACAGGTCGGCTCTCACAGAACCGAGCTCAGATGTCCCCACTCTGTCATCTCTCTAGGATGCCTTGTCCCAGGCCCCCCAGGGTCCTTCTCTTATGAGGGACACAACATGTTGTGCGTAGAGATGAACGGTAATCAGGACTTGTAGCAGGGGGATCACGTGTTCACATGGGGACACTCACCCAGCCCTATCACTTACCAGCCAGTCACCTGGGAACTTCCCGGCCCTGGGAGACTGGGGCTGTTCATCCCTGCAGCGAGTCTGGTCAGGCGGGTCCGCAGGACCTCAGGAAGGTGTGCACCGCGAGGAAAGCACTGCACCCTGTGCCTGGCAGGGACTCTGACGACACTGAAAGGCGGATGGCTGCTGTTTCTAACAGGATTCGATCCCACCCCAGCGCTTGTCACTGCTCCCCAGGACATATCAGACTATGCAGCTCCGTGGGACATGGAGGAGCAAGTAGGCTAAAATGGGAGTAAAATTCACTAACTCCTCCCTCTTTGAGGACAGGTGACATCATCAGCGTGTGGAGGCTTTTCCCTTGGGATGCAGCTGAGCCTCCTAGAATGAGTGAAGGGCCAGCTCTCCCTCTGAGCTGCTTTTCCAACCAAACCACTATTTCATCTCATCCCCATCCAAAACCTAGCCCTTGTTTAGAATTATTCCACTTACATTAAAGGTAGCCTAAGTATAAGGCTCCAGTGGAATTTTCTCTGGCTCTCAGGCCAAGAAAATGTGTCAGTCTGGAGCTTTCTGGACACAACTTCAAAGAAATATCCCCTATTTGTCTAGAAATCCTCACAGATGATGGTTACCAATCACCTAGTTCTTACGTTATGTCCAGCTGCACTGGGAGAAGAGCTCAGGACACATCCAATACCTGGTCCAGGTGGACATTCCTCTCTGCTTTACCCATGAACCAAGCAGAACTGCTCAGAGCAGTTCCCCATTTTCAGCCCCAAGATATCTCACCTGTGTGACTGGCCCTGGGCACCATGCAATAAAATGGGCTCTCAAAGAAGGAACTGCAGTTTCCCCAAGCCCTTCCCTGCAGCAACCCCCTCCTGCTCTTTCACCTGTTCTTCAAGCCCTCGAGGACAGCTCTCCATTTCCTGCCACAGCTGGAAATGGCCCAAGATGCCACCATCCTATGGGGAAGAGTGGGTCCTGTTCAGCCTAGTTTACTCATTTCTCCAGCGCTAACACACAGCCTTCCACAGAGCATCTGCTCAAAGGTAGTCTGGGGTCAGTGCATCTGTGAGCAGACGGAGTTTTTCCTTAACAGTAAATTTCTCCAATATTTTTGAATGTGTCAAGCATATGCAGGTATACTTTAAAATATTTTACAGAGCACACTAAAAGGGATAAAGGAAAATAAATATTAAGTGTATTTAACTTTCTTCTGTATTTATTGACCCTATCTATATTTTAATAATGACTTCTTTTACATTTGCAAGAAAACTTTTATTCCAACGAGAAATTATCTTGTTCCATATCACAAAACAGGATGGAAGATTTTAGTTTGTTTTACAAAACAGCAAAACTCTTAAAGTTATAAACAGCAATGTGTGTGACCAATGCCACTCATACTTTACGATACGAAGTTAAATCCTTACTAAAAGGGAGAACATGGGCAAAATTTCAAAAAGAAATAAATCTTCAACTCACTCACACAGGAGAAATGCAAGCATTATAACAATGAACTTAATACCCATTCTACATCTGCACTATTTAGAAAACTGACTGCTCTTTTCATGCAGAGTTTAGAATCTGCTTCAGAAATAACACGGGACGGAAGCTGCTGGATGTGGCCCTGGAATGTGTCCTGTCCCTAGTAATCACTCTTCCAGTAGCCCTGGATCTCTCTAGTTTTCATTTTCTGAATCCTCCTCCTCACTGACAGGCAAGTCCCTGAGGACAGTAGCTTTGAGCCTGGCCAAAAAAAGTAGGACTTCCTTCTTGCTAGTTTCAGCATAGGCCCTTGGACCCCACTGGAACTTGTATTCAGGAGGATCACTGTTGGGCACTACCAGGTATGATATGTACTGTTCCTGCACCAAATCCTCGGTGATGAACTTCCGGGGCTCCCCATAGATGCAGTGCTCCTCCCCAGCATGTACCCCTATCTCACTCAGAATTTCCCAGATTGCCTCCTCCCTGGCACAGTTGCCCTGAAGGAAGATGATACCCAGGACAATTATCAGGAGGATGGTCCTGGGGTAGCCCTTCCTGTTACTATCCATACCATCATAGGTGAGGCCCAGGACAGGGACAAGAACATAGAAGGTGCTGGAAGGTTGCACTTTCTTTACATCAATGCCAAAATATAGCTTCAGGCTCTGAGTGGCTTCCCTGAAGAGCACAGAGAAGTTATCACACTCTTTGCTGATACACTGCTGCATTTCTGCCATGGTGGTTGGCTCCTCCTTTAGATACTTTGAGGCCAGGAACTGCAGCAATGCAGCCATCTTATTATCGCCAGAATCACCACTCATCAAGGACTCGGTTTCTTCCTGGCTAGGTAAGAGGAATGAACCCTCCCCTTGTCCACTGCTGGAGGCCCCATGGGATTGGCTCGGTGGGGCAACATCTATGGTGTTGGGGAGAGAAGAGCCTCCCTCAGGACACTGAGGATCCAGCATTTCAGCAACGGAAATCATCTCTATGGTGCCTAGGATCAGACAACAGAAGGAAGAAGAGGATAAGGAGGAAAGGCAATGAGAGAGGGTGAAAGAGGTGACCTTCTCATACACAGCACTGAAAATCTGCCCACCCACCAAGCCCTGTGTCTCACTTTGGTCCTCAGAGTCTTCTTCAAGTCCGTAGAGCTTTGACAATGCAGAGATGATGGCATAGGACCTCCGGTAGGAGCTTGGTGATGCGGACTCAAGGCCCTGGGGGAGAGAGAGGATGTGAGCAGCACTTGCAGAGAAGGCAAGGGGAAATGAATTCATCCATAGGCCTAGGCCTAGGTAAGACAGATTGAGGCTGGAATTCTGTATGTTGGAGTATGGAGTTCTCTCTGATTTTATCCAGACACCAGGCAGTGCCTCAAATCCCTAGGGCCCCCCAGGCTGTAACAGTGGATACCAGGATCTGTGGACTCCCTTCTTTTGGGGGGGGGTGCAGGGTATTTCCATACCTTCAGTCCTCACCCAAGTACCTCACCTTGATTGCTAGCAGGTCCTGGTTTCCTCCCTCTGCTGACCAGGCGTAGCTCTGCTGACCTGGTGATCCACTGCACATCAAGGCATGCTCTCCCTGAGTTCAAACAGACAGAAATGAGACCCAGCACTTAAACACACCCCTGCACAGGTTTTCCCTAGGGTTTGGACAGAAGGACAAGGTTACAGAAGCCCTCCTTTGTTTGGAATGCACCCAGAGATTCATATTTCCCCTCTGCTGACCTGTGCATGCGTCTCGCAATCCAAGGACACAATCTCACTGTCATCCCAAAGGTGGAAGCTGGTGTCCTGCGTGTATTGGGTGTGACTCTTTCTCTTGGTGTTGTCACTGGCTTCCCCAGCTTGACAGGAGAGGCAGTTTCCCATGTCTTGAATCTGTTGAACTGAGGCCACATTCATCAGACCACGTCCCACTCCTCTGTGACACACAGAGGCAGGGGCAAAGGTGCACTGCGCGGTCTAGTGTGCAAAATTTCCTCAGCTGTCCTCCCTGTAAGTCTTCCTCTTGGGTCTTTGAAAGAGGTCCACCTGTTTGTGGCCCTGAATACTCCTCCCTCAGATTCCAGATAGCAAAGTAGGACACAATTCAGTGCGAAATCATAGGCATACTGGGCTCCATCTATCATGGGTTCTAGGACACTCAGTCCTACTTCATTTCTCTCTTTGACTTGGGGCAGGGCCTGGAGCTAATTGAGCCTAGGTGTCTCTGCTCCTGCTACCTGAACCACTGACCTCAGAACAAGGATCTGAGTCTGTCAGGTTCCAGTGAAGCAAAAGCTTGCCCTAACCTAAGAATTCTACATCATGTGGTACCCAGCAAGTAACAGACCTTTCTAGATTATTCTGGGACCCTTTCTCTGCAGGGAAGCTCCCGCAGGACTCCCCCCGCCACGCTTCTCCCCCCAAGCCCCTTTTGACTTGAGCTCTTCCTACCTGAAACATAGCCCTTAAAAATAGGAGGAGGGGACTGGGGATTTAGCTCAGCGGTTCGGTGGCCTGCCTCACAAGCGCAAGGACCAGAGTTCGATCCCTGGTACCACAAAAAAACAAAAACAGAAACAAAAACAAAAAAAAACAAAGGAGGAGGGGGGTGAAGGGAGGGCAGGGATAAGGGGAAATAGTGAGAACCAAGACCTGTGATGCAAAGGTACAAGATCCCAATGATGACTGTAACTGTACTGTATACCTAAAATGTACCAAAAAACTCAAAGAGGAAAAAAAAAAAAAAGTTCTGATTCTGCCGTCAGTTCCCAGAGAGGCCAAAGGGGTTGCTAGACTGGGAATTGGTCACAGCATAATCAGGAGCAGAGACCGGAGGCTTTTTTAGAATGTTCTGGAAGCTTCTCTCTGGGCCGGGGCTTCCCCAATCCCCAACAGCCCCTCGCTTTGACTTAATCTAGGCCGGGTCCTCTCCTCTCCTTTCACTGTTAGTTTAGCCCTTAGAACAGGGCTCTGGCTCTCCTCGCTGGGTCCCCTTAGGAAGGAGGAGGTCCGTACCCGAAAACTCTTCCCCAGAGTACCCGGGCGACAAGACGGGCAAATCTAGATTGTTTCAGGTCCCTCTGTCTGGGGTGGGGCTTCCTCACTCCCCGCACAACCCCCGAACGCGACCCTTACCGGAGCGCAGGCTTTCCCGTTCCCCTCACCGAAGTTGTGCCGCTCCGAAGAGAGTCTCGCGTCGATGTGACCTCACGAAGCGTGATCTGATGAAACGTAACCTCACGGAGCGTGACCTCACGGAGCGTGACCTCACGGAGCGTGACCTCACGGAGCGTGACCTCAGGGAGCGCGAGATAGTGCACATCACATCCGCGAGGTGCCGGGTGCGGGGGCGGGGGAGCGGCTTGGCCCCTGGGCCCTGGGTAATCTCTGATTACGTCGCCTCTCTAGGGTCTCTAGGGTCGTCTCTGTGGGTTCTGGCAGAGCCCGGACCACGGTCCTCTCGGACTCCAGGGTCCCCTGCAGCTGAAGAGGGGAGAGGCTTTACTCTTCCAGTTCTGCTTCCTGGTAACAAGAATGGCAGAGCTGGGTTGCGAGGGGACCCGTCTCGGTGGGCCTTCCTTACTCCCACACAGCCCATCACCTCGACCCTTTAATGATTCCTGCCCTCTCCGCTCCTCTGCCCTGAAGCTCAGAACTCGGAGCAGTGCCTCCAGTCGTTCAAACCCCTCGATGCGGTGGACGCTCTAGTCAGTGGACATCACATCCAGTAAGTTGCCCAGGGCCTCCCTGGGCTGACCGCACGAGCTGAAAGGTAACCCTCTCGTCCTTAGGAGTCGTCACTTTGGGTCCCTGTTCTCTACAGACCCGGGTCTGTTGCCCTCGGAGCCAGACTTGGCATCCTATGTTCCCGAGTCAGTTAGTTTACGAATTGTGAAAGCCAGTCCTCCCAACAATGTGGTTTCCAGTGGTTATTAGCGCAGTCTCTGTAGCAATAATGTCTGGCTCTTCCTGCTGTCCTGGTGTTGCCCTGGGGACATTGGCAGCTCTGCAGTGAGGCTTGTGCAGTGGTGTAGAGGACTCCTGCTGTCAGGAGCTACCTGTGCAGGCCTCGACCCCCACCCACCTCCCTGGCCCACACACAAGTACAGCTCAACAGTCTCCACTCTCCCGCAGGCCTTACTTCTGTTTCGATGTTTACACTGAGTTGTTTTTGTGTCTCTTAGGTTTTTTCTTTTTCTCTTCTATTGTTTTCCAGGATTAATTTGGGAAGTATAGGACAGTAGACAATGCTTATTTGTCATTTTGACTTTTACAAGTAGGGTGCTGTATGTAAAGACAATTAGACATTTTATATTACTTTGTTCCCTGTAAATGGATATAGCATACTGCTCTATTTTAAATTCCTTTCTCCTGAACCTGTCAGTGCATTTCTGTTCTACAGTTTTCTTTCTTTTTTGTCTATTATACTAGCTAGGACGCCTTAGTATGATGCTTTGGAGGAATGGTGACAGACAATACACTCACCTTATTCTCAACGAAATCACCCTTTGATCATATCTTTATCTCAGCTATGCACAACACCACTGCCCCCAAACCTGCAGAGACAGACAGGTGACTAGGGGGCTTACCGGAACACAAGTCCAAGATTGGAAACCCCTTTTGTAGCCAGTTATGTGGTTAAAATGTTAAACTGATTAATGAATTGTTAAGAGTCTCGGTGTGGGGAAGCTTGAGAGTTAAAAACAGTCTTGTACCCTTACATGATGGATCTTGGTTCTCACTTTTTCCCCATATCCCTGGATCCCAATGATGAATGTAAATGTACTGTATACTTAAAAAGTACCAATAAACTCAGTAAGATTAAAAAAAAAAACAACTAAAAGGCCCCAGGGCGTAGAGAGAAAAGGTTTGTTGAGGGTAAAGTTTATAGAAATAAATATATGTTTAATTATTTTAAGCTTTGCTCTTGTTGGTTTGATTGAGCCCAAACTACTTCTATTGGAAGCTTCTGGTTTTGCTGGCCATGGTGGTGCACGCCTGTAATCTCAGCACTCAGGAGGCTGAGGCAGGAGGATCGCCCCAAGTTCGAGGCCACCCTGGGGTACATAGTGAGTTTAGGGCCAGTGTGAAGTACAAAGCAAGACCCAGTCTCAAAAAAAAAAAAGTCTTGGTTTCTCAAAAAGATTAGGAGGCAATGCCCCTGACTCTTAATTAGTCATTCCTCAGGTCTCCACTCTCCTCACTAGTCTATCTGATGCTTTTAGATGAAGGCTCTCTCATTTCCGAGATCAATATTGAACATGAGCTTTTCTCCATGGCTACCAGAGATACTTAAACTGGTCAATGACAAAAACAAAGACAACGCTGCCTCCTTGAGCAGTACTGACCTGATCCATAACGTTCATTATTGTTGGTTTCATGTTATATTAAACTTACTTATATTTCTCAAATGTACAGGTCATTGAAAATACAAAGCTAAAGCAATCTCATCATATTAGTGACTTCCAGACTAAACTATTTATGGTGATAAACTTTTAAACTCCAATACCTAACTTTCTCTTACTTGTGTTCCTGTTACTGGTGATAAAATATACACACCAATCCAATATAGGACATCCAGCAAAAGGATGTAAATACTTTTTCAAGGCTTATGTTTAGTGTTATGTGGATGATATATATATATATATATATGTATTACGATACTTAACAATGTTCCCACACTCTACAGTCCAAACCATGTCACATACAATACATCTATAAACCAATATATTCTTCTTAAATGACATTTTATTAAAGCATAACAAATTAAAAAAATAAAAAGTCTTAGGCTGCTTTTTAAAAATTTTATTTGTGTAATTTTACATACCATAAAATTCACCCATTAATAGTAATTCCCATTTAGTGTGAGGTTGGCATTGGATTTTTCATGAATATCTATTGTCAGTGTGATTTTTTTTTTTTTTTGGTAGTGGGTATTGAACTTGAGTACTTGTGCTTGCGAGGCAGGCAGTGAACCACTGATCTAAACCCCCGACCCTCTATTGTTAGTTTGAGATAAGGTCCTTCTATATCTATTTTCATCGGAAATGAATATTGGATTTTGTCAAAAGCTTTTTCTGAGTCTATTCAGATGATGATGTGATTTTTGTCTTTTTTTTTTTTTCAGTACCGGGAATCAAACTCAGAACCTTGCGCTTATGTGGCAGGTGTGGTACCACTGAGCTAAATCCCTGGCCCTCTTTGCTTCTGTATTGGTGGTGTATTATGTTTATTGATTTGCATGTTTGGAACCGTCCTTGAATCCTTGGAATGAAGCTATCTTGGTCATGAGGTAAGAGATTTTCAATGATTAATTGCAGTATCTTGTGTTGAGGATTTCGCACCTATGTTCATTAAGGATATTGGCCTGGTTTTTTTTTTTTTTTTTTTTTTTTTTTTTTTTTTTTTTTTTTTATTTTGGTATCAAGGGAATGCTAACTTCCAGCAGTAAGTTTGGCAGTGCTACCTCCTTTTGAAGATTCTGAGGCATATTGGCATTAGACCTTCCCTGAAGTTCTTGAAGAATTCAGCAGTGAATCCATCAGGTCCTAGGCATTTTTAGTTGGTAGTGTTTATCATTTCTTTTCTTTCTTTCTTTCTTTTCTTTTTTTTTGGTACCAGGGATCGAACTCGGGACCTTGCGCTTGTGAGGCAGGTGGCGAAACCACTGAGCTAAATCCCTGGCCTGTGTTTACCATTTCTATTACATGGCCTGTTACTGGTCCATTCAGAGTTTTTACATTTTTTGGTTCAGTTTTGATAATTTAAGTGTCTCTAAGAATTTGTCTATTTCTTCTAGGTTCTCCAACTTATTGGAATATAAGTATTTAAATAATTTTTTTATAATCCTCTGGATTTTGGTGGTGGTATTTTAACTTTTTGTTTCTAATTTTATTGATGTGGGTTCTTTTTCTTTCTTTTTTTAAGTTTGGCTAAGGGTTTAATCAGTCTTGTTATCCTTTCAGAAAACCGACTCTGATTCATAGATTTTTTTTATTTTTTAATTTTTTGAAGCAAAATATTTATGATATATATAATGATAACATTCATCATAGGAAATTTGTACTTGTACATGATACATCTTTCTTCTTTTTTCCCACTCACCCCTCCCTTTGACCCCTCTTCTCCTTTTTAATATACAAAAGCTTTGTTTCCATATTTTCTTTCATTTTTTCTTGTCCCTTCTTTCCTTTCCCCTCCCCCCTTCCTTTTCCCCTTCTTGTTTTTTTTTGGGGGGGTACCGAGGATTGAACTCGGGTCCTTGTGCTTGCAAGGCAGGTGGCAGAACCATTGAGCTAAATCCCCGGCCCTTCCCCTTCTCATTTAACCAGAAAGCAGTAGGAAAGCAAACTTCAATAGCTTCTGAGAGAAAACTAAGCAATGGATCATGTTTTAAATAGCAAAACATTTATTGGTACGTTTTAGACATACATAATGCTAACACTCATCATAGGAAATTTGCACATGTTCACAGTACCTCCTGCCTCTTTTTTCCCATCCTCCCCTCCCCGCAATGTCCCCCTCCTTTCCCTATGTACAAAAGTTTGTTTCTATTTGTCCTTCTGTTTTCACTTTTTTCTGATCCCTGCCTTCCTCCCCCCCATTCCCCTTCACATTTGAACATTTTCTTCCCATTTCCCAATATCTGTTATATATTTAAGTCCTTATTTCCACTTTCCGTTTCTCACACCAGAGAATGCAGTACTTAAATGTGTGTCCAATTTATTTCACTTGAGCATAGTCTCAAGGTACACCCATTTAGCTAGAAGTGTCTCAAGCTCATCCTTCTTTATGGCAGAGTAGCATTCCATTGTATTAAAAAGACCGCACATCTTCTTTATCCATTTGTTATTTGATGAGTATTTGGGATATTTCCAAGATTTAGCTATTACAGATTATATCACTATAAACATGGATGTGTATATATCACTCTGGTATAATTTATTTAATTCTTTCAGGAAGATGCCAAAAAGGAAAATAGCTGGGTCAAATGGAACCTTTAATTTTAGATTTTGAGGAATCCCAATACTGATTTCCACAATGCTTTCACCAGTCTGCACTCCCACCAACAGTGGAGGAAGGTTCCTTTTTCCCCACAACCCCACCAGCATTTGTTATTGG